AACCTCTATTTATTAAATGCTTCCAAACATTTTCACGATTTGCCATTTTCGAGTTGTTTCATTTTCGACAAGGACAGAATATCTTACCACTTTCTTGGGCGAGCGGTGTCGAATCTGCTTGATGTATAAAGCTCTCCAGCCCTTCGAGATATTATTTCCTCACTCTCCTGTTAGCATCTCTATGCATATACATCCACCTCTGCAACTCGAAAATATTCCCGCAACCCGACATATTTTTTACGTTTTTTTTTGTTGTTGGTGTTTTTAAAATGATGTAGCAACATCCATTTTATAGGGAATTTTTGAATCTGGTAGTTTAAACTTTACTTGGAATTTACGACGAAACATTTAAATTTTACTTCGACTTTACAACGAAATCTAATTAGGTAGCCGAATTTTAAGCATGTGTCAGGCCTCGTAAAGTGGATGCAGTGTTTATGTGTCCTTTACGACGAAACTTTGTTTCCTCGTAAGCACCACGTTAAATTAAGTGTCGATAACGAGGAAACACTTTCCACGTCATTTTACAACGAATTAACGTGGAAATATACTTTCCTCGTAAACTCCACGTATAGTCGACGGAATTTTACGACGGAAAGTTTTCCTCGTAAAATCTCGTCGCTATAGCCGTGTTTTCTTGTAGTGGCGTGACCACTTAGAACCACATTTAAAACACACTCCGTCTCTCCTCATGTTATCTTGTTCAGCATTAGTGTATCTTTGACGTGGTCTCAGCCCTCCATTGTTATTAGCTCCAGCCTCCTTATTCTGTTTCAACTCTACTGCCTCAGTCTTTGACTTCTCATTAGTAGTGTTAGTAGACGTGGAAGTCTGAGTTTTCGGTTTAGACCACGGACGAGAACGAGAATGTGATGAGTTATTAGCCTCACTCACCACTTTACAGAATGTACTTGTCTCCATGCGTAACACCGCATCTATGTAATTAGACAATCCTTGAGGCTATTTCATACGAATCACTTCTTTCATCTCCGGTGATAAACCGTTGTAAAATATTTTCTCCAAGTGATGATCTTCTAAATCTGGAACTTGTGCTGAGAGGCCTTCAAATTCAGAGACATACGCCGCCACTGAACCATTCTGACGGATCACAAATAGCTTAGTTTATGGTTCCTCATCGATCGACTCTGAGAAACGGATCAACATATGTTGTTTAAAGTCCTCCCAATTACGAAATCCTCCCCTCTTTGTCACCCACGCAAACCACTTATTTACCGGACCTTGTAAACACAACAGTACCAGATCCAATTTCGCTTCCTCCACATATCTGCCAGTAATAAAGAAGTGTTCTACATCCACAATCCATTCATAACCACCAGATCCATCAAACACCGGCATCTCAACCTTTTTTAACATGCTATCACTGGTTTCTACATTCAAATTCTCAGATCGATAACCTAACGAAGCGTTTCGATTACGATCCATGAGCGAAGATGATACCTGAGGTGTATACGCCACTGAAGCTGACCGTTGCGGAGATTGATGCATCGGCATCTTACCAAACACCTTTGTAAGTGCTTGAATCGAAGAATTCAGATCCAAAACCTCTTGCTGCAACGACGAATGCAACGTCAGTGTCGCATTCGTCGTTGCATTTGCATCATTCAATCTCGTATACGCTCCCATCAGAAACTTCAGTTTCCCTTTCGTTTTCTTCTCCTGCTCATCGCACTCGTCGAAGATCCGTGACTGCATTGGAGAACCGCTCGTCGACATTGTTTCGCGTTGAATCAAACTTTTCACCGCACCAATGATAGATTTTTGATGTCTCAAAGATGTAAAACTCAATCGTATTGAATAAACTGAAAGTGAATACAATTTGTCCGAAACTCTCTACAAATACTCAACAATTGTAAACTCTCATCTCTAGATCTCATCACGATCTTGAGCTCAGACACATGGCGGCTAAGATTTTACAACAATTAAGCATAAGAAGAAAGAGACAATCTCTCTCTATATTTAAACTTTGATCGCGAGCCAAACGCTCAAACTTCTAACGGAAAACCCTCTGTCACTCCCAGAGTGTTTGCTCTCCCTCCACTTGATTTAAACCGCGAACCTTCTCTCTCAACTCGAATTTTGTTTTCCCTCCGTCGGAGATAACTTCTAAACCTTATGTCTCATTCCGCATGTTTACTTCTTCTCCAAATAACTGCAACTCATTCTCTTCGGCATTCCCACCCAAGTTCCTCCTGAAATAAGTTCTCTTATGCTTATAACATTGAGAAAGGGTTCCTTTTGTGTGAGGGTAGGATATGTGGGAAGCTGAGGGTTTCAGTGATGACATGAGCCACTCATACAGTTCATCCTTTGTTTGTCCTTGAAGCAACCGTACTTCGGAGCTGGGATTCTTCACCTGAAAATGTGCAGGAAAGAATTCCACAGACACTTGATCAGAGTTCCAGAGGCAATAGACTGAGATAAGGTACTTATTAACAGTAGGAGCACAAAGATTATCATTCAGTTGCTCAAGTTTTGAAGGAGTACATTAAGAATCATAACCAGTGTGAGTAATCTGTAAACCTGAGCCATCTGCGATCCCAACTTCCTCACCACCATTGTATGGTTGATGAAGTGTGAGATTATTGAGATCATAGGTCAAATGTGTGTCGCCCCACTGACCAGAATCCACTAATTGGCCACATAAGGAGATGTATGAGTAACATTGGCTCTCGGCTGCCATGGCGTTTGTAGGGTGCCATAAGTGGTAAGTATGCTGCAGTTTGAGTCGAGAACTGGGAGCACCAGCAAGAATTATGACATAGTATGCCACATAATTGGCATCATCCCTGGTATACATGACCAGTACCTTGAGATGATGGCGAGTTGAACTGTTGCTGTTGTTGCCAAGTTTGAGTTTGATGTGCAGGATAACCACCACACTTATTGTTCTGGTAGAGGTTGTTGTTGCAGCTATAGTGTCCTTTCTAGTAAGTTTAATTCACAGTTACATGAACAAAGGAGATGACAGGATTTGTAACCTCAAGCTTGGTCTCGTGATTGATGAACTTCTTGTGAATTTCAGTGAGTGAAGGAGGAGTATCACGTCCCTCAATCTGACCAGCAATGAGTTTGTAATCTTCCAGAAGACCTTTAAAGATTTTTTTTTAATATGATCTTCATGATCAATAGCTTTTCCAAACAAAGTGAGTTGATTAAACCTAGTGGTGAGACCTTGATATTACTCATCGATGGACTTATTTCCTTTGGTCCAGTGTTTGAGTTGTTGTTGCAACTAATTGATATGCCCTCGACTTGGTTTAGAATAAGTTGAGGTGAATGTACTCCAGATCTCCGCCGAGGTTGTCGTTGTGGACAGAAAGGTGTTGTAGAGTGGTGGTGATAGCACCAAGGAGTGCTCCGTAGATAATCCGATATTGTCTCTTCCACATGACGTACAACGGTTTTGTTACAGTCTCTTCAGTAGTGATTGTAGCAGTAGGAATAATGAGCGAGCCTTCTAGTAGCAAGCATTTTTTCGAGTAGAGCGTGAACTTGACGGCTCCATTTGAGAAAGTTGGAAGCAATGAGCTTTGTTACGTTCGTTATATTGACATTGCGAAGGGTGGGAATGTTTGAAACCGTGACTGTTTCAGTGACTGATGCATGATGATGATGATGATGATGATGATGATGATGATGATGATGATGATGATGATGATGATGATGATGATGATGATGATGATGGTGATGATGATGATGATGATGATGATGATGATGATGATGATGATGATGATGATGATGATGATGATGATGATGATGATGATGATGATGATGATGATGATGATGATGATGATGTACGAACAAGAAATATGAAAAAGAGGATGGCGGCTTAGGTTATTAAACTTGCTCTGATTCCATATATATAATAGGCATTAGTGATGTACAAAGTATTTATACACCAGTACAAAGTAGGTTACAAAAGTAGACTAATGTATTTACAAAGAGATCATTTATACTTAACAGGTAGGACCACAAGTCTCACAAAAGCTCTTACACACATATCTTAGATGAAGCTATTGCTATAGAAGCAAAATTGGTATGAATTTTGAGAGGAGTGAGGGAAGGGTAGATTGCTAATTAATTATTGTGTGGAATGGGGGAAGGTTTACATGTAAGTTAATTAGCTAAAAAAGTGTAAAACAGTTTGTTAACCGTAGGACTGAATTCGAATGGCTTGAGATATCGTTAGAGTTGACGCTGTTAAGAAAACATTATTACTACTATTATTTTGGAGAAAACAGCTATTAAAATTTTGAACTTTCAAATTAAAGCCAAAAAACTTTTAACCCATGTTTGAATCAAAATAATCTTCAATTTTCAAATATTAGCCATTTTAATTCTCATATTTTGTCGACTTGATCATTTAAGAAATTCGAATAGTCAACTGTTAAATTTAAATTAAAAAATAGATGTATGTTAACTCTTTAAACAAAATTATTTCAAAAACTGATTAAATATCAATCAAACAATGTCGTTTTGCTTTTAAAAACATTTAAACATTTTTTTCTGAGCCAGAATCCCAAATTGTCTTATTCTTCCTCATTTTTGAGTGAAGAAGATAAAGTCGATTTGAGACTCTAATTTCGTGAAAGAATTTTTTAATTGTTTAAAAAAGCAAAACTACGTTGTTTGACTATTTCTTAAAAAACAACATCGTCTAGAAAGTTAATAGTCATCTAATTTTATAATCGAATGTAACAGTTGATTATTTGGATTTTTTAAATGGCATATTCAACAAAATATGAGAGTTCAAACAACCAATATTTAAACGTTGAAGATTTTTTTGACCCAAACATGAATTTGAAGTTTTATTGGCTTTAATTTGAAAATTATTTTGTTAAAAAGTAGTTGTGGACGTTAAAATATACGCGAAGCACAGTTCAGGCTCAGGAATTGGCGCATACACATCCATGATGATTCAATGGAGTCAATTTGGCAACAACCCACCGTATTGACTTAAAAAAATATGATCCTCTATCTCATATGTATTTCTTAAAACAATACAAAATAACAATAATAGAAAGAGACACAATACCACCAGACGTGGTTGAGCAGAAAAGAGTAGCGGGTGCATCTGTAGTTTCCTCTTTAACCAAATCAAGACTCTCTTGTTCAACACCAACTTGAGTTTCTGCTTCAGAGGAAATGTAACTCTTAAGCTCAATCTTCAGATTAATGATCTCTTCTTCTTGCATTCGAATCTTTACATTAGCTTCTTTAAGCTCTCCTTCATATACATTAATTTTCTGAAGGAGATCAGTGTTGTTGTCACCATTGACACACTCCTGCTGTAGACGGAGTTTTTCTTTAGTTTCTTGAAGTTCAAGTTCTAAATCAGCCATCCTACTGATCAGTGCCTCGTAGCCATCTTCATCATTACCAGAGGAATGATCAGGAACCGACTTAGAGTCAGAATCAGAATCAGACAGAGATGATGAGTCTTCCTCTTCCTTGTGACGGTGACTCGATTTCTCTTGAGAAGTAGGAGATGATTTCTCAAGAGAGCCCTGTGACTGTAGCCCAGAGAGATGAATTTTCTGAAGTTCACCACTAGCTTGATCATAACGCTCAGCCAAAGCGCGATACATGCGGTAAAACTCCTCCACAAGGTGGACTAACTCGGGACGCTTCTGGTAATACATTTGAGCTTTCTTGGCAAAAGAGTCTGCGTCTTCTTCAATCAACTTTAACATGTGGTTCACACGGTCATCCATCTCTGAGAAGCCATAACAAGAACAAGTTCAATACATCTAAGTGGAGAGAGAGCTTAATGGTAAGTGAGGTATAACATACTCTCTAGATTCTCTGCAAGCCATTTTGAGTTCTTGGGACAATTGTGACTGTCCCACCACCATGAGTGTGATTTCTTGGTCGAAGACCTCTTTAACTGCTTCTTGCTAAGAGCCTGAGAACGTCAGACATAAACATGAGTAAATCTAAGGACCCAGAGACCAAACACAAGGACCAAGATAACATGATGGTTTCTTACCGAAGACGAGGACATGGCTTTGAGGGGTGTAGAGAAACTTAGAAACCTCTACAAGAAGATTCAAGATTGTGAACGAGGTAACTAATAAAATGTTAAAAGACTTGACTGTCTGGTATTGAATATTTTCTTGAGTTTATGGAAACAGTTGGGACAAAACAAGACACTTGACGCTTTAACAACCCATCTTGCACAATTTCAAGAAATCCAAAGATTTTCAGCTTTTAGCCGCACTTTATTTATATGAAACTAATAATATAATTGTATACAACAGAAAGAAGAGGAGACAAAAAGTGTAGTATGATAAAAGCTTACTTTACACAGATTAAAAAGAAAGAGCTTATGACTGAAAATACTCAAGGAATGGTCTACATAAAGGCCTTTATATAATTTTCCGCCTTCAAGATGATTAAGCTAATAAAAAACTAATCATCTTTGTTTCACGTCTGCAAAGAAAATATTAAAATTAAAAATAATCAAAAAGAGTTTCTCAGATTAATCTTGAAAAAATGTGAATACGCTTTCTCTACACGTCACAGCTACTCACCTGCTTATTTTAATTTTCTTGAAGTCTTCTTTGTATTAGAAAAAAAAAGAAAGACTCAATGATTGAGACATTTTGTTCCGATATGGGAGAGCATAACTGGCGGATCTGCAACGTCCATGATTTTGCATGTGGCGTGCAACGTCCATGATTTTGCATGTGGCGTCTTTCTGATCAGGGAGAGAGAGAGAGAGAGAGAGAGAGAGAGAGAGAGAGAGAGAGAGAGAGAGAGAGAGAGAAATGAATTTATTTGTTCTCGAATCAAACCAAACCTTAGACAAACTTAGAAACATAATAAATTTACAAGCTAAGTCGATAATTATCAATCAAGACATGTGATCCGTATTGATTATTCTCTATGATTCCTCTAAATAAGTTATTTATGAAAGTGTAAGATTGGACGATTAAAAACTGATCTCCAATATGATTGCACCTACGTGTCTTCACAATCTTCATAGTTGATAGCTGAAAAATATCTGTCAACTATAACAGTAGCAACGGGTAAAATTAAAACCAACTTCAAAAATCTATAGACAAAAGGATGTAACAAATGCTTCTGTGTTTCCACTATCATGCGAGCAAGCCTTTAAGTGAGTAAACCTTTCATTACTTTGAATATTATCAATATAGATATCTAATTGTTGCTCAAGAGATATGTACTCGGCATAACTAAAGTCGTTTGGGTAGAACTTAGATAACTTCATCGCTTTTCAGCGGTCAAACCCATAAAACGAATCAATGGGAGATAAAAAAAGCCGCACATATAAGCAAATCACACATATAAGCAATTCAGTGTTTACCTCATTGAAGCGATCATCAAACTCCTGAAGTTGTAAAACCAAAACAGCATACAAACAATTAATTTTATAGTGATGCAGATTTGATACTCCTGTTTTTTTCCTTGACTTCCTTGAGTCAGCAAAATCTTCTTCCACGTCAACCTTTTCAATATCATATTTATCACAAAAGGAAAAAACTTTGATCATGAGAGAACTTCATCCATCATCCCTAAACTTATGTGATTGTCCACTACTTGATTTCACCAATGGCATAGCATTCAAAGTATCCTAGCCTCTTCTTTGTAGAGCCATAGACTAGTTGTCAGTGAGTCCCAAAAGATGTAACACATTTGCAAATAGAATGTAAAATCAAAGCTATGAAAATATCTGATGAGACCATATGCTTGACGTCTTTTTAAGTCTTCTATGCCTTCATTCTTAACATACACAAGCACCTCGATGATAGAACAAAATAACTCTACAAAACTAAGTAGAGTTCTATAGTGAGAATTGCATCGAGTATTCCCTGGTCTGTGAAGAGCTACCTCTTTGATTTGACCTTGTTCCAGTATTAATTTCACCACATTAAATTCCTTCCTCAATCACTTTCTTGTGACTCTCTCGTATCATACTTTTACATGAAGTTTCCACCACATTCACCAATAGAGAAATCATATCAAAAATATCTCCCACATCAAAAATTTTGTTTTACAACAGCCACAACAACTAGATGAAGTTGATGAGTAAAACAGTGAATATAGTACACTGATGTACTTTCCCGCGAGATTGGTGACCTTAAACCATTGAACTCACATTCATATTACTTGCTCAATCATATCCTTGTCCTCTCACCATTTTGATGCTCAATCCATATTTAGCAAATAAAAAATCACTAGCAGATTTCAAAGATGCTGAAGAAGTTTTGCTCACATGTGCAATGCTCATGAATTAATCTCTCTTTACCTACCCCACTTTTGTCAACGAAACGAAACACTACTGCCATTTGTACTTTATCAGAAACATCAGCAGACTCATCCACCAATAAACCAAAGATATCATTGTGAATTTATTCAATAATAGATTTGATAAGTTCTTCCGCAAAACAATGAACAATATCTTTCTGAATCTTTGGCAGATATCATTCAATTATTTCCAGGAACGTTCTCTAAAACAACCTTACTCTAAACCTCATTTCGTTCTGCAGTGTATCTCAGTAGCTCCACAAAGTTTCTTTTATTAGCAGATTTCTTGGACTCATCATGACCATGAAAAGGTAACTCTTGTCTCAATAAGTATCTAGCAGCATGAACTAAAGCATTCAATCGAATCTAATACTTAAGCTTTGTAACATCATCTTGCTTATGCAAAGCATGCTTGATAGATTGACCTTGTTTCATCAAGTTTTCACACTTCGTGACTGAACTGTTATGAAAACTATTAGAACTTCCCACATGATCTTTAAATTTTTAAAACTTATTCCAGATATAGAAACCGTCGATAGTAAGTGCATCATATTGTCCGCCCTTCCCAGCATTATCTCTGAACAAATAACAACATAAACAAAAGGCTGTGTCTTTCTTCACACTAAACTCTAACAAGTTCTCATACTTGTCAAACCAGGCAGGATTAAATCGCCTCATTATGCCTCCAATCACTTTTCGTTTAAAGATATGCCCATGATGTTGACAAGGACCTCTAATCAAATATCTGTGAATTCTCTCACTTCTTTGATTCGGAAGATATTATGATATTCTTTTCCAGTCAGCGGGATCCAATAGTAGATCATCTAAATCAATTGGAGCTGGAGGTGAAGATGGAGCCTTTCTTTTGATCACAATTCGATCCATTCTTTTGCTGAAATAACAAGTAAAAAACCAAATTGTTAAATCGAAAAAACAAAGAAGGATGTAAAGAACATATGACAAAGAATAAATATTTCTAACGACTGGTGAATGAGTTATGATATATTTCATAGTTCATATTTTGTGAAATTTGAAAATAAAATCTCCAAAAACACATACAGTTTTACTGGGATTAATAACTTATTCTTCAAAAGTTGTATAATTAATGTGGGAACCGCAATTCACACCGTCGATTTCCGTTTAAATTAGGAAACTAGGAAAACCCTAATTTTCCATAGGTCTCAAATATATGCTAAACCAAAATCATCATACGAGAATAAAGACGAGAAAAATATAAAGAATCGAAAAAAGAGCAAAAGGTGTCTTATTCCAAATTTGCGTAAAAGCGTTTACAACAAGTTAGGAGCCTTGGCTACGAGAACTGTTGGCGAGATCTCTAGTTCTAATAACCTAAGACTGCAAAACCTAGTTGAGTCGCAGTTCGAATAACAAAAACGGAAAGTTGCCTAAATGCTCTAAGTGCTAAGTTTGCTCTGAAACAATTCTCCCTTTGTGCCTCTCGCCTAGGACTCCTTATATAATCCCTCCAAAGTCGGTTTAGGCTTTTCCCTTCTACCCTTAAGTCGCCATAGCTCAAAAATGGTGATATTCCATTTTTCTCGATCTTCATGATTATCTAAGGAAACTTGACATTTATGTTTTCTTTTGGACTAAGTGTAAACCGCCATAGTGTTTATGGGCTCTTAAAAAAATTGTAAGTGGGTTTCTAGTCGCTTTTTAGACCTTTTTGGGCTGTCTTTCGACTCAAAACGTTTATTACGGGTTTTTTGATAAAAACAAACTTTTTGCAGTTTTTATCGTAAAGTCTAAATGATAACTCCGATCGATAAGGATTGCAAGGTGGTTCAGCTGTGGCTTGCAGGAGATAGTATTGAAGAGTAGACGAGAACACACGAATTCATGTCGTACTGGTTTTTACTCATTTGATTGATGTTCGGGACAGTCTGTTCACTGCATAGCGACCTAACCCGGGATCAGACTGGTCGTTACATAGTGATTTGACCTGAACGAGACCAGTCGCTACGTAGCGACCTGGTCTGTGGCTGGACCGGTCGCTATGTAACGACCAGAACCGTTACGAGACCGGTCTCCACATAGCGACCTGGTCCATGCATAGACCGGTCACTATGTAGTGACCTGGTCCGACTCGGGACTGGTCGCTATATAGAGACTTGGTCCGGCTCGAGACCGGTCGCTATATTGAGACATGTTCTGTGCGTGGACCGGTCGCTATGTAGCGACCTGGTCCGTGCGTGGATCGGTCGCTATGTAGCGACCTTGTCTGGTTTGGGACCGGTCGCCACATAGCGACCTAGTTCGTGCATGAACCGGTCGCTATGTAGTGACCTGGTCCAGTTCGTGACTGGTCACTACATAGCGACCTGGTCCATGTGTGGGCAGATTGCTATGTAGCGACCTGGTCAAGCTTGGGAAAGGTTGCTACATAGCGACCTCGTCCAACAAGAATAATATTTTAAAGTTTTATTTACCCAGCTACTTGGTAGAAGATTGTCGAAAGTTAGAAAAATATGAAGAGTTAGGTCAGATAAAAACCAGAAAAAAAAATCTTTTAGTAGAGAAGACAAATTGTGTTTTCAAAATAAACAATTAGATGGCTTTTTGTAGTGTTTCAGGAAAAAAAAAAAAAAAAAAAAAAAAAAAGATAGCTTTTTGTAAATATATTTCGTACACAAAATTGGGTTTTTTTGCACTGATAATATTTGTGTGGTCAGTAGAATAATTGGACTGGGTTCATTATGAACAAACCCAAAA